AAAAATATATCCCTTACATACATATACCTGTAGACACTCATCTTTCTTTATCTATATATGTATAATGCATAAGGTATTATATTAATACAACAACTATGAACACCCAATCATTTATTTGCGAGTCGCAGGATTGAAAAAGTAAGAAAAAACATCCAAAGAAAAATGAATTTAGAAAAAAGCAAGTTTACAATTCTGCATGTATCGACAGGGCTTTCTAAAGGACCTGGAAAGCTCAGAATTACGCTCAGTAATGAGAGCTGGAGGTTTCGACGTGAAAAGGCTCACTTCAGAAGAATTTGGCCGTCTCGAGTGTCGATGCTGCCTAGGCGCTTGGCAGGCCGTAGCTGGTGCTAAGGCCCCCTCCGTGCCCACCGCTACCACTTCCCCTGCCTCCCGTGCCGAAGCTACTGCCGCTACCGCCTGTGCCGAAGCCGCTGCCACTGCCTCCTGTGCCAAAGCCGCTGCCACTACCGCCTGTGCCGAAGCCGCTGCCACTGCCTCCTGTGCCGAAGCCGCTGCCACTACCGCCTGTGCCGAAGCCGCTGCCACTACCGCCTGTGCCGAAGCCGCTGCTACCGCCGCCGCCTGTGCCAAATCCGCTGCCACTGCCAGTTCCGCCAAAACCACCAGTGCTGCCGCCATGACTTCCACTTCCTTTACTTCCACCAAAGCTACTGCCACCGGTACCGAAGGTGCCGCTGCTTCCACTTCCACCTCCGTGACTTCCAGTGCTTCCGAAGCCGCTGCTACCTCCAGTGCCTCCGAAACCAGTGCTACCTCCAGTGAAACCAGTGCTACCTCCAGTGCCTCCAGTGCAGTGCTCCGAAGCTACCTCCAGTGCCTCCGAAACCAGTGCTACCTCCAGTGCCTGTGCTACCTCCACCTCCAAAACCAGTGCTACCTCCAGTGCCTCCGAAACCAGCTACCTCCATGCCTCCAGTGCTACCTCCAGTGCCTCCGAAACCAGTGCTACCTCCAGTGCCTGCTACCTCCAGTGCCTCCGAAACCAGTGCTACCTCCAGTGCCTCCGAAACCAGTGCTACCTCCAGTGCCTCCGCTGCCAGAGCCACCACTTCCACTACCGCTGTACTTCTGGCCACTGCTACCAAAGCTTGATCCGCCTGAGCCGCTCAGTCCTCCACTTCCGAAACCCGAGCCTCCACTCCCAGATCCTGCACCACCGCTGCCGAAGCCTGATCCTCCACTTCCAAAGCTCGATCCACCAGAGCCTCTTCCACCGCTGCCGAAAGCTGATCCACCAGAGCCTCTTCCACCGCTGCCGAAAGATGATCCACCAGAGCCTCTTCCACCGCTGCCGAAGCCTGATCCTCCACTTCCAAAGCTCGATCCACCAGAGCCTCTTCCACCGCTGCCGAAAGATGATCCACCAGAGCCTCTTCCACCGCTGCCGAAAGATGATCCACCAGAGCCTCTTCCACCACTTCCAAAGCTCGATCCACCAGAGCCACTTCCACCGCCACTAAAGCCTGACCCTGACCCGCCGTGGCCCTTCCTTCCGCCGCCGTAAGGGACGGGGTCGGCCACGGCCAGGCACAGCAGCGCCATCGCGGCCGTGGCGGCGATCTGCGGAACGAAAGGGATAAGAACACTCCATGATCTTCATTAATTATTGCATTCCTAAGCAGCTTCATTCAATTGACCATAGTCTTAAACATCAACGTTTTTAACTAAGCATGTAGTCATCTGATGGAGTAAATGAAATGCCAGAACGGATAATTCGACGCCGTGTTATGAATCAGAAGTAACATTTCGGTGCAAGAATAAAAGAAGAAATAATCATTTGATCCTACCAAGACAAAAATCAAAGGCAAATCCTTAAGATAAGAAAGAGATATGAAGTGAAATATGCGGCCAACTTACCAAAGCACGGTGGTTCTTCATGATGTTCAGTCCTCGGTGAACAGAAAGAACACCTGATGAGGAGTAATGTTCGCTGGAGCTTTTATACTTGCTTATCTCTTGAGACTCAGCGGTTGTCAGATACCATTATTTGAGTAAAATCACGAAAAGATACGCGAAAAACGAATTGTTCTATTTTCCCAGATACTCTTGGCTATTAAACGCATTTTACAAATATCTTTTCCCTCTACTGAATGTCTCATATAGGAGTAATGTCACTAATATTGACACAAGGAAGGAAAATGAACACAGTGCAACATTAGACGAAATATTTCACCGCAGACGGGAAAAACCGAGGACCTTCGAGGTGTTCAGTCGTGAGGTCCTTGAACACGACTTGTGCATTTGTTTATTTCGTTTATGCGTATTAATCGATGCAGCTCTCGTATATAAGTTTGTCAACCCGACGCCGTACGGCTGAATTCACCGGAAAAGATTGAAACAGCTGGTTCATGATCAGTTTTCAAAGTTTTCAGAATTCACAGGGAAAAGATAGGTTGATTACATTTTTTCTTTTTAGTGAACTGGAAAAAATAAACATATACACGTGCCCCCGCACGCACACACACACACACACACA